GGCGGTGGCCCCATTGCGTCCTCAGCCAAATGGGCAGGGAGGGGGAGCAGGACAGGAGGCAGCGGCTCTGGCGGCAGCCACTGCAGCATCGTCGGGGTCCCCGTCGCCGCCCCTGGCCCGGCCGCCGCCCCCGCCGCATCCTCAGCCACTTCGCCGTCTTAAGAGGAGGGCGCTAAGGCCGGGTGCACCATGGGCAGCCACGCCGGCAATGGGGAGTGCCGACGAGGGGGGGTCCCGATCGCCGCCAGCCCCGCCGCCCTCGCATCCCAAGGTCTCCTCCTGCAGCAACGAGGGCAGCAGCGGCGGCTCCCTGAAAGTGCCCGAGGAAGGTGCCACCGATGGGGCCGAGGTGGGGCCGGGCGGCGGAGAGCCCGGCGAGCTTCATGCCTGAGTGCCGTCCGGCCCGGGCTGGGGAGACATGTGGCCGGTTCGGCTTCCCAGGGAGCGATGCTCCCGCTGGCCGCCGCACCAGCCATGACTGCCGCCCAGCACGGGGAGACATGTGGCTGGCTCGGCGGCCCAGGGAGCGGCCCAGGAAGCGATGCCCCAGCCGAGACTGGAACAAGTAAGCCGGGGGGGGCGCACCACCTGCCCCGCAGCCACTTCGCGGCAGTGCTCCATGAACTCAGAGCCCCCTCCCTCCCCCCGGCACTGACCCTCTGTCTCCGGCTCTGCTGCTGCTTGGCGCCGGCTGGGCATCGGAAGGGATGCTCTCGGGGCCGCGGTTTGCGGGAAGGCTGGCCCGCTCAGCGGAGGCTCGGGCAGGCCACTCCCAGTGGGGATCTTGGGGCTTCCCCGCATGGCTCCCCAGCCACGTGCGCCTGGGATGGGGCCAGCCCGGGAAAGGGACTTCCTGGCCGCCCTTCTCCCAGGGGGCGGGGCACCCGGGCGCAGGGCCAATGAGGAGCCCTGCGAGGGGGCAAGTCCCATGAGAGAGAGAGAGAGAGAGAGAGAGAGAAGTGCAAGTGCCTCTGTCTCTGTCTCTCTCTCTCTCTCTCATGGGACTTGCCGGAGGGCCGTGGGAGGGCCGCATTTACATAGAGCAGGGAGGGCTGTTCGAGGGCCGGATTAAACCGGGCCGCGGGCCGCAAATGGCCCGCGGGCCAGACTTTGGACATGTCTGGCTTAGAGTGAACTCTTTAACTTTGGAGAAGTATGTGCAAAGGGGAAAAAGCTTATTCCAACTGATGTTAGTTATTCAAGGATCTTACTTTTCTTTAAATGTAAATTGTATTTTATTTCTCTTTAAATTTTTAAGATACAAAGTAAGAAGGTATGCAATAGGTAGAATGCTTGACAAACGTTTTAGGAAAATATACATTGTATAAAGGTCTATTAGTTAAGTTTACAGATAGTTCCTTTCTTAATAACAATAATTGGGACTGGCATTTGGATTAGTTTTTGTTAAACCTGTATTCCATCTTTTTCTTTGAAGCTTAAGGCAGTCTATATCCTACTTCATCCTCCAAGTTTTCTTCATAATTTTCCTCCCACAGCAATCTATTTCTGAAAAATGATTGAGCTGAGACTAGCCCAAACTAGTTGGGTGAGTTTCCATGGTAGTGTATTGGTTCTCTTGAACACAGTAACTGTAAGTCCAATGAATTGTACTTGCTTATTTATTTATTTACTTATTAAAAATTTTTGCTGCCCATCTCACCTCGGGCCAATTCTTATAAAAGAAACATCAAATTTGATATATGGAACAGAATGTTAAGAGAGCACTGACATTTATTTTTAAATTCTCACGAAGACATACTTCCAATAACTCTGGAAGACTCATTATTGTAAATTAATCATCTTGCTCTTTCTTCATTAAAATTAATGGCCAGCACAATTTTTTTAGAATAGAATAGAACTGGAAGGGACCTTGGAGGTCCTAGTCCAGCCCCCTGCTCAAGCAGGAGAACCATTATATATTTAGATATTTATGATATCTAAACTAGCTAGAGAGAGTAAGCTAATATAATGTCACATCATTCCTTTTTAAAAAGGGAAAACATTCCTTGGAATTGAAGAAAACCTTTCTAGATAGTTTTCAAGATAGTGCAAGAAAGACTACTTTGTATTTCAGAGAATAGCAATAATGTTTTTGCATTTATACAATCTTATTGCTATCAGTATAAGCGTATTGCATTTATAAAATTATCTTCCCTGTAAAATCATTTTCCTGGGTACCATGAGGTACTCAAGCTTAAATTTGTCTGCTATTTTGCCTTTGTTGTTTTATTCATACAGTTCCAATATTCCATAATTATTATATGAATCTGTTGGTTGTCTTAAATTTCAAGGACTTAAGCCTCTAAGTTATCCATAGGTCATGCATTTTGTGAATATAGTATCTCATATTTTCCCATTTTTCCAGTCAGTTGTTTTGGTGGAAATATATTCTTTTTACCTATACTGTACGTAACAGTAACTGCTGTACATAACAGACTGTGGCTCAGCCTGGTTAAATGGAAAAGAAAGAAAAGAGAAAGTGCACATTTCTAATATGTTTAATTTCACAATGCTTGTGGGTATACAATATTTTTTGTTGTTCCATTGTCTGTGCAGATATAGAGATTGTCTGGTTTGCCAACTCTAGAACACGCAACATATAATTGTCCATGTGAGAAGCAATCCGTGTCTAGCTCTAAACCGCACAATTCTAAAGATTGGCCCTGAGCTTTGTTGATGGTGATTGCAAACGCCAATCGAATTGGGAATTGCAGTCTCTTAAATTGAAATGGCATATCTGTTGGAATCATAGGAATGTGAGGAGGCGCTGTTTTTCAAAAAAAAGCATGTTTTTACCTGTCATAGGTGTGACATCTATATAATAGTAGGTATATAAAAACACGCGTATTCGAATGCAACGTGTCAAAATTTCAAAGCAATCGGTGAAGAACGTTCAGACATTTAAGATTTTGAACAAACGAACATTTACATTTTTATTTATATAGATAGATAGATACACACGCACACATATATATATACACACACACACTATATATATATATATAGCTTTACTTGATTGTTGTTTATGTCCAGAGTTGCTTTTTGCAACATGAGCAGCCATAAAGATTGGATAAATAAATAAATACGTTGTACAAGATACTTCTACAGAAGAGTGGCAAAACTGAAAATTATCTAGATGTTATGATTTATGGTTATCCATTTTCTCCCCTACCAATATTTTTCACCCATTTTGTTAGACTCTTCAGTGTTTCATTGCTTTCCTTTACAGGGACACAGCAGGACAAGAGCGATTCCACACCATCACCACCTCCTACTACAGAGGTGCCATGGGAATCATGCTAGTGTATGATATCACCAATGCCAAAAGCTTTGAAAACATCAGCAAATGGCTTAGAAACATAGATGAGGTAAGCAGTTTAGTGCGGGTTAGTGCAAAAATAATGCTTGCAAAGAGATTAACTAAATACCTTTTGATTCTTGACTTTTCATCTTTTTGAAAAAAATGTGTTCAATGGATGTCTGCTTATTACGGAAGAATTGGAAATAGTTTGACACTATATCTGATCCCAGGGGATTGAAATGCCATCTGCCTAAAATTTGAGCATTTATACAGAATGTGTCAGCATTCTTTTGCTGTTGTTGCTTTTTATAGACTTTAAATATATAAGAATTATATCATGTATTTAATGCATTTATATGCCATTTTGTGTCTCAGGATAACAAACTTTAAGATACTAAAACAGTAAACTCAAGAGGAAATGGGAGCAAGGGGATGTTGCCACAGAGTCAGGTATGGGGGGGGGGGGTTAAAGAAAGTAATCTTACAATCTATCACAGGCCAATTTTGGTTCTTAAAATATATTGGGCATAATAGTATCCCTTGAGGCAATCTTGCTTTTTGGAGTCAATAATCCAATTATTTTCCTCATAGCTAGTATTTATGTTACATATTAGTAATCTGCATATTTAAATTTGCAGCTTGGACTTTCAGAGATTTTGCATCATAAATCAAACATGATGGCCAAGACTTGAGCAATTACTGTCTTAAAGCAATGAGGGATAAAAGGGGAATGTTTTTGTAGACTAAGACTTAGTAATCACGATTAATAGCTTGTAACCATTAAAGAGGTGGCTGATAGGACTATCTTTTTGAACTACGTTTTGGTAGGATAAATGTAGTTTATTTATAATAAACTGAGTAAACTATCTAGCCAAAATATAGTACATCTTTTAGCCTGATGTAGAAAGGCTGAGCGACAAAGAATTGAGGCCTTTGAACTATGGTGCTGGAGAAGACTCCTGCGAGTCCCTTGGACTGCAAGGTGTTCAAACCGGTCAGTCCTAGAAGAGATCAACCCCGACTGCTCTTTAGAAGGCCAGATCCTGAAGTTGAAACTCAAATACTTTGGCCACCTAATGAGAAGGAAGGACTCACTGGAGAAAGGCCTAATGCTGGGAAAGATTGAGGGCAATAGAAGAAGGGGACGACAGAGAATGAGATGGCTGGATGGAGTCACTGAAGCAGTAGGCCTGAGCTTAAATGGACTCCAGAAGATGGTAGAGGACAGGAAGACCTGGAGGAATGTTGTCAATGGGGTCGCGATGGATCGGACATGACTTCGCAATTAACAACAACAAGAAGATGCAGTTGAGATACAATATCCCATCCAGTCACCTCCAAACCACACTGCTACTTTAACTTAATTTTCAAGAATTGGTTTATATACCGTACATTCATATTTTGTGCTTTGATTATATGTAAGCATTACTATTGAACATAATTCTTCATACAATTTTCCCAGTTCATATTAATTTATTACATCATAGATTTCACCAATTCTAAATATGTTTTGGACCATACAGGATCAAAGTGAAATTGTCCCAATAAAAGAGTACAATCTGAAGCATATCGATCTTGGCAAAGTATTATATAACCTTGTGTTGCAGTTGGAGAATAACTTGAGTGTATATTATTATATTTTTTATAATTGAGCACCATTGTTTCCTGATTTTGATCTTTGGTAGACTTAATTACCTATTTTACTTAAATAACAACCACCCAAGCCCCAAAAATGAAAGGGAAGGGGGTTGTAAGTTTAACTCATGCCCTCTGAGCTTAACTTTCATAAGGTGGTTAATATAATGCTGTACAGAAATATAAAATATCATTCTTTGATTGCACCCTAGCATGCTAATGAAGATGTGGAGAGAATGCTTTTAGGAAACAAATGTGATATGGATGACAAAAGAGTGGTACCTAAAGGAAAAGGTGAACAGGTGCGTACCACATCAGCAATTTTCTGCATCGGTAGTGCAGATAATAGAGGAAATTCTTAGTTTCCTTTAGGCCAATGGTCGGCATTCTTTTGGTGGCTAAAAGATATATTTGGTGTGTTTAGTGAGGCGGAACCCTGCCAGATTAATGGGATCATATATGTTTTGATAAGGCTGGGAATAGAATTAATTGTAATGTGCTTATCTTAAAGTTAGCATTATCATTTTATGTATTTCCTGGTTTAAAAAAACTGGTTTTTTTTTAAGCAATCAATGGTCTGAATGTTTTAAAACTTCTAATTGATAAAAAAATGTCACAATGTGTAATACTTTGTAGTGCTGGTGTTAGAAATCTGCATTTATTGCTGGAGGGTTTCCCTCAGTTTAGAACGTTGGCTTGATTTTTAAAGTTCTTCTGTATAAAATTTTACAATTAACTGAGTAAAAGTCTATTTTCTCAGAGTTTCTGAGATCTTTATATTCCTGTGAGAACATAATCTATTATTTAACTAGAATTTTAAATTATGCATATATGAATTATGCTTTGTAAAATGATTTTTAAAACATATATACTTTGGGACAGACTTAGAAATTGTTCTGCTAATTTTGCAAATCTTCTTTTAATGTGTTTGGATTAGGATTTTTTTTAAGTGTCCTTTTTACAGTATGTTTGAGCAGGTTCACACTTCCTGATGTGTAGTATTTTCCAGAAGCATTTGTAACAAGCCTAATAGTGTTCTTTTCCCCTTTTGGCCTAGATTGCAAGGGAGCATGGTATTAGGTTTTTCGAAACTAGTGCAAAAGCAAATATAAACATTGAGAAGGCATTCCTCACGTTAGCAGAAGACATTCTTCGAAAGGTAACCGCAATCTTTAGCAGAAAATGGGGTGGCAGGAACATTAAATACTGAATATGGTTTGAGATCCTGACTTAATAGTAGTATCAGTCTTGCCCATAGCTATTATGCACACTAGAATATCATTGGTAAAACATGAAGAGCAAGGGCAACCATGTCTGCATTCTGCGAAGAGTTTGAGCCCATGACCCCAGAACAAGTGACCAAGTCGTTGGATCTATGAGTTTTTCCATCTACAAAACAGTTTGTGAACCCTTTGCAATTCTCAATGTTTCTGCATAAATAGGATCTGATTATTCCCACAGATCCTAAAACTAGATAAAGAGAGCCTAATTAAACAAATGAGTCAAAAACATACATGTTCATTTATTTATTAAGATGCAGACATTGTTTTTCATAAAAGCTTTCAGATAATGTGTTGGCCATCAGGGTTATAATAGACAGGGGTAGCTATATTAAAATTTATTTTATGTTATTTAACAAATTTATATAATTCCCCATCTCATGAATAGTGACTCTGGGAAGTGTACACATAGTGACAAAAAACTAAAATACATTTTAAAAAAACAAAGTCTAACATTGAAGGACTGTACATTTGATTGTACAGCCACTTTGTAGGTTCACCATGGGATGCCCTTCCAAGGTTGACAAAAGAATCAGGTTTTAAGGGCTTTCAAGAAGGCCAACAGAGATGGGGCTAACTCACCTCAGAAGGAATAATGTTCTCGATGGCAGTAGCGACAGCATCAAAGTCACATGTCTGGTGGAGCTCAGTAGACAGCACCCGTAGCATACCCACCCACCCTGTTAAAATATGTAAATGTAATTGGGAAGAGACAGTTCCTCAAATAATCTGGTATAATCTACATAAATAAATGGGAGACACTATTCCACCAATGTAGACTAACTTCAAAGTTGGGGTGATACAAACCAATCCAAAGAAATGGCATTTTCCTAAATCCCATAAAAATTAGGGTGTAGCTGAATAGTATAGAATAGAATAACAGAGTTGGAAGGGATCTTGGAGGTCTTCTAGTCCAACCCCCTGCTTAGGCAGGAAACCCTATACCATTTCAGACAAACAGTTGTCCAATCTCTTCTTAAAAACCTCCAGTGTTGGAACATTCACAACTTCTGGAGGGAAGTAGTAATTATTTCAGTAAAGTTATCTTTGTCTGAGTTTATGCAACTAAAAAGTTGAATTTTTGTTAATTTTTTTTGCTTGACTACTACAGGTAGTCCTCGACTTATGACCACAATTGAGCCCAAATTTTCTGTTGTTAAGTGAGATATTTGTTAAATGAGTTTTGCCCCATTTTATGACCTTTCTTGCCACAGTTGTTAAGTGAATCACTGCAGTTGATAAGTTAGTAACCCAGTTGTTAAATGAATCTGGCTTCCCGATTGACTTTGCTTGTCTCAAAAGGTTGCAAAAGGTGATCACTTGATTATGGGGATGCTACAAAGGTTGTAACTGTGAAAAATGATCATAAGTCACTTTTTTCAGTGTCACTGTAACTTCGAATGGTCACTAAACGAACTGTTGTAAGTCAAGGACTACCTGTACTAATTGTGTATTCAGCTTTGTTGCTCTGCTGAACAGTGAGTATGGCTCCTGTAATTGTGAAATTTGGCTTAACTCTTACATTGCTTCTTTATTGCAGACCCCTGTAAAAGAGCCCAACAGTGAAAATGTAGATATCAGCAGTGGAGGTGGTGTGACAGGCTGGAAGACCAAGTGCTGCTGAATGTGTTCCTCTCACCAAGCACCACCCATCACCCCTCCTCCTCTTCTTGCTGTGGAATAAACCACTTTGCCCATTTTTAACCTTAAATATTTTTCTCCTCATCTTAACATGGCTCCACTTTTTCCTTTGTTCTTCTGTTAGGGAGAGCTCACTGACTATAATTTTCTTGAAACAAACTGTATTAAAATCATGTCTGATGTTATTTTTAATGTACCAGCTGAACTCAATGCCACACTCTGGTTGTATTATAGCCCAGTCTTAACATTAAAATGTAGAGCGGCCATTTCAGTTCCAGTCTGCAAACTGTACAAGAATAAAACCTAGCATTAACAGTTTATTTTGTACAACAGTGGGGTTTTATTATGAACACTGTGCTTAGGTCACCATATTTGCATCAGCAAAAAAATCATTCGCCTTGAGTATGTAAATGGGGTTTATTTTGTCCTGTGCCTTATGTGGAAAGGAACTTTAGTTCTTCCCTTCCCCCTTTTTTTTTCTGTTCTGGTGGAAGCAAGACAGAAGATCAAATTCTACTGTGGTGACTTTACTGTGATCGATATAGAGGATTGAGGACAAAGGGGTTAAAGCAAGCTATTCCAATCTGCTTGATGTCTCTTTTCCTATTGGTTTAAATTCTGACCAGTTCCTGCTGCCATTTTTTTCTCTTTAGCAGTCTCTCCCCTCCCCCCCCCCTTTTTTTTGCCTGCATGCCGGTTTTATTTTTTTTATATATATAGCGTGAAGTGTTAAGAGATGGCAATACAATATGTTTGCCAAATTTAATTCGAAGTACAGATCAAAAATCTAGCTTTCTGAGGTAAAACGTGAAGTATCTACTAACCTTTGTCTAGCAGCTGTCAGACCAATTACTATTTCTCCCTTCCTTCCTGCATAGTTGTTGGGGTTTATGATATGGAAGAGTTAATTGCATGCACTAGTTTTTTTATGGAGGATGATGTGGCTGTCTTCAATCTTTGTGTATGACTATACCATGTGGTTCCCAAATCTACAGCCATTCATAAAGAATTTGGTTTTCTTTGCTGCTCCAGGCAGGTGACTCAGTAGCCTAGTCAATATTTAACATGGGGGTGGGGTGGGGGGTGGGGGGAGAAAGAGGGCAAGTAAGTTTGAATGATCACACCCCTAGAATGTTTTCCTTCTGTGTTAAGTTCTTCACAATAAAAAAATCCCTTGTTTACAACCCTGGGCAATTGTAACTTCTTTCAATTAATACTGAGGAACATTAAGCATAAATACCACTTTAAATTTTCTACTTAAGGAAGCAAGTGTGCTCTTCTTTTGGGGGCCCCACGGGAACGGAACTTGCTTTTCTGGTTTCCTGATTTGCCTCTCATTCTAGATGTCACTTAAGACACCTATATTGAAACAACAGAGAGGTGTTGTTCAGTTCTGAAAATACTGGGAACGGGTCAAGGGCTTGTAATCTTTTGAGGCTCACGTTGGATTTGGGTGCCTTGCTGAGTCATTCTTTTCACCACTTGGTGGCCTGTCTGTAAAAGGGTTTCCTGGCAAACTCTTCTCTCCCCCCCCCCCAATGTAGTCTCAGAGACAAGTTTGAGACTGAACCTTTTTGCACTTGTTTTTAGAAAATTTCCTCTACTAATTAAATCAGCTGATGAAACTGACTAATTTTAATAAAACGAAGGTGTTTGGAACGCTAGCCTTGATCTGGTTTCATAGTAACTTTCCTGTCTCCTTTCCCTTATGCTTGGGAATTGACTCCTATCCTGTTTGTTAATCAATCCCAGTTGAGTGGCTGTTAAAGTTAAAGGCAGAAACCAGGGACTTGAAGGGACAAATCAATGCAGTTGTTCCTCACATATTGATGTATTGATTAGTGTTGTAAATAGAAATTGTTACCTTTTTCAGATCTGCACTTTCTAACATTATCAAAAAAGGGAATATAGAGTGTGCATAATTTTTTGTATAATCTTTGTTTAAAATGTGTGCTTTTTATTTGCTTCCTTGGGCTTGGCCCTCCTGTATGAGTCTCTTTAAGAACCTTTGTAAAAGCTGTGTTCATTAAGCACCAGGTAGTTAATCAAAACAGTCCACTCTCTGGTACTACTAGATGAAAAATCATACTCTACTTAACAAGTTAAATAAACTGAAATATTTCTAGCTGGTCTATTTCTGTTTATATTAAAATGTGATTTGGTTTTTATTTTCTAAGTCCCATCATTTATATAATAGTGGGCAAAATAAAGGCATTGCTGGGTGTGCCTTTTTTTTTTTTTTTTTTGCTAAAGTGGCTAAAGAAAAAAACTGCTTTGCAATATCTGAAAAGGGTTTGTTTTAAATTTCATTGTTAAAAATACAAAGTCTGGCTCTCCTTTTGTTTACTCATGTCAGAAAGACTTCCTTGAGTCACATTTGACTTGAGATAGTTAACTGAATATGTACATGAAGTTTTCTTGGTAAGAGCATGAAAATAATTTGCTGTTCTCAGAGTTTGAGTCTAAATGTGGTAAAGGCACAGCATCTTATAATGACAATTGGTAACTAAAATAAAATACTTAACTTCGATCTCTTGTATTGTGGGAACTTGGTTGGGAGGATTAATTGAAAGTTAATCCTCCCGGCTTCTATAGTAGATACAAATCTAAGATGATTTTCCAGTGTAAATAGAAAGACTGGAGCAAATACGTTTGTTCTGCTCCTGATTTTCTGTTATGTGCAGTGGGAAAAGAGGCTGCTTTGCTTTCTCCACTTCATAAGTGATAAATCCAAAATTCCCCTCAATTTGCTCTATCAGCTGGTGTTAAGAGTGATGGGTAGCTATACCAGCCATTGCTAAGCATGTAATGAGAACAAGGTATGCAAAAGCTTCTTAGATGGGAAAGGACTGAGCGAAACTTGGAAATGGTGATAATAATGGATGCAAGGGGTATGGATAACAGGGAAAACAAGATTGAAGACTGAATAAAGTTCTGTTAAGATGGTCTCTAAACACAATACCCAAGGGAACATACATTAAACCTTTTGATATCTCCACACTTACTTGTACTGTAGTGCCTGCTTGGAGATCTCAACCATACCTGGCTCTAAGCACATTTTTTTTTTCTATTTCTAGTACTTCCACAGATAGTCTTCATACTAACCGGTAGCAGTTTTTAAAATGCTAATATATCCTTTCCAATAAGCACTGGATAAGCAGCTTTGTATCTGTTTATTGTAAAAATGTGGAAAATATCTTATACTACATCAGTTCATAAATAGTTGTATCCAGTGCTTTTTTTCTAAAAAAAAAAAAAAAAAAAGTGCTGGAACTCACACACGTCATACAACCTGCGTTGCCTACCCTACAAGGTACCATCCAAAAAAGGTGCCGGAACTCTGTTCTGGGCGTTCTATGAGAAAAAAAGCCCTGGTTGTATCCCAGTCATTGGTAGCAGCTCTCTGGATTCTCAAAAACAGTGAGAATGAGTCTGATCTTTCCGGTGACCTCCCTCAGTAATTTACTTGGAAGATTTCAACAGCTGGGATTTTCTATGTGCACAGCAGTAGCTTTCTTCTGCTACCTGTTGTTTTCTTCATCGGTGTCTCCAGGTTCATTCTCTGTAACGCATATTCTCAGGCATATTTGCTTGGTATTAACTAGCTTGGCCTTAAGCAGCATTACTGAGGGATATTCCTAAACATACCGGTAGCAGAATTCACTTTAACAGCAGAGGGTGCTGCTCTTCCATTTGAGAAGAGAGCAAGTGTCCCATTTTGCTTAAAGCTGATAGGGCTATTGATGAGGTTTGAATCCAGCCTTAAGGCCATGTGCTCTGCAGTTATACATCAGTCTCCTGATTAAAACTGTCTACAGATTTGCTATGAAAATTTTGTAATTCGATTCGCTACTTGCTTACAGGCAGTAGAAGATACTAAATACCCTTTTTAGCAGCTTGTTCCATTCTAAAAAAAATTAAATTTCCAAGAAATGCAGTTTATTCTAAATACATTATACAATCCTTTCAAAATTCAAAGGAGGAGGAAACTACAGTATTTAAAATAATATGGTTGACATAAAGCTACTATTTTGCTGTATAAATTCTAGTTCTTGCAATTGCTTAATTCATCAGATTTGTTTTAATTATTGTTAGTTTAGTCTAGTATAGGATTGGATTTACATACAAAGCCATACTATATGGGTTTCATATACTACACCCAGGGGTCCCAACCCCTGGTCTGTGGACCGGCAGTGGTCCATGGCATGCCAGAAATCGGGCTGTGCAAACAAGCAAAGCAGGCAGCACACAAACTACGCCCCCTTCCAGTCCATGGAAAAACCTCTTTAGGGAACCAGTCCCTGGTGCCCAAAAGTTGGGGGCTGCTGTACTACACCATCAAATCAAATAAACCACAAAATAGCTTAGTGCAATTCATGGACACGTTAGTTGTGGGGCTCTCTGCCTAGACCAGATTGGTCTTCACATTCTTATTTGTGACCTGTTTCCATTTTTATTCTTCACAACCCAATGGAATGTTGGAAACAAATTGCATAAAGGAATTAAAGACACTCTTCAGAAAACAACCAAATGGGACCAAATATAGTGTGGGAGGAGAAGCTGACAAAAGAAACAGCAGTTTAAAAATAGATGAGATGTCACTGAAGGCTGTTGAGAAAATGATTATTGAAATTCACCCAATGCAATTCTAGAAGACAGGCAGTTCTTCAGTGGCTTAGAATTTGCTGATTGTACCAAAAGCCCTTCTCCCTCTATTCAGGTAACCCAGAATGGATCTACTGTGATGAATTTGGTGAGGATTCCTGAAGCCATGTATCCTTGTTCCATGCTGCAATGCTATTTTAGAAGTCAGGAAAGCTACCTCTTAAAAGCATATTCCTGGAAGATTGGATCTCTCTCCCTCTCCTTTTCTCTCTTGCTCCTTCCTTCCATCTGTCTATCTGTCATGTTTTCATCAGTGCCAAGGACATTTGAAGTGGTTTTACTTTTCTAAGATCACATTGTATTTTAAATGGAATCAGATAATGGTGCTGCAGAAAATGGCTAGTGTAGTTTTCTATTTCTCCTGAGCAGTCAACACTTAAGGTGACTTTCCAGTGTAAATAGAGTTGACTGTTAAAGCCCTTTTTAAAAAAAAGTGCAAACTGTATAGAAAAAAAATGTTTCATAACAATAATTCCCAAATTGTTGAATGCATTAATGTCAAGCTGCTGATATACTGAGAAATAAGTTAATTTCAAAGAGGAACTTGTACCTGGATTCCCAGAGTGTGAATAAGGGTTCTTCATGATCATGTTTTTGAGTCAGCAGAAAAGTATATCAAAATAAATTGCACTATCCTACAGTTGTCTATGGAGATTCTCAGTCATCCAGGTCATGGAGAAAAAAGAAAGTCCAATTATCTCGTGAAAAAGGACCTTTGGGACTACCCTACAGTTGAGCGTTACTGCACCTTGGCAGCATGACTGCTCAATATTCCATTTAGATTCTTCCCATGCTCTTCAGACTCCCATCTGTAATTTTATGTCACAACTACAGACAATATTAGGTTAGTTCCATAGTGGTCTGGGGATAAGATAGAGACATTATGGAGTCCTGTCCCTTGAAACCAGTTAGTAAAATGTAATTATGCTTCAGCTAGAAGGACATGGGGATGATTCCCAAGATAATTTACTTCTTTTCCCTTATTTTTCTGCAATAATTACTATAATTAGTGGGATATTCCAATCCCTTATTCCATAATGTTAGTAATTTATCAATACCTAATTTAATAATTCTCTAAAAGTGTTTAAAAGACCTGTAGATTTAGAATAATCTAAAATATTTTCCAATAATCACAATTTAGGAATTTCAAACAATGTGCCAGGTTCAAACTGTATGTTAAAAGTTGCTTTACTGTAATTGAACATATTTCTATTCAGCTACTAATTAGTCCAAATTTTTGCAATAAATATGATTTAAAAGACTTGCAGGGAGTTGATTTAAAATGTATCACTTGTTCAACAATTCTGGGGAAAAATACTGCAATTGTCACTCACCTTACTCCAGGTTTCCCCTTCCAGCTGTTTCCTACTCTACGAGACGGGTTCTCATCTCCATTTCTTAGCCGAGGGAGTCAGTGTTGTCAGTGTTGTCCGAAGACATTTCTATGGTTATGTGATCAGCATGACAATACACTGAGGCACACAGAACATTGTTACATTCCCACCAAAGTGGTGCCTATTTGTCTACTTGCATTTGCATGCTTTCAAACTGCTAGTTGGGCAGGAACTGGGGAAGTAATGGGAGCTCACCCCATCATGCAGTGCTCAGGTCTTGAACTGGGCTGTCAGTTTTCAAGCTGACAAGCTCAGTGTCTTTAACCGCCCCTTCCACTTTATTCCAATGTCTTAATATTTCATGAAAATAAAAAAAGTAAACTTCTAACCCCAAACCTTCTGATTACGCCCGGTGGTGACGCAGTGGTTAGAATGCAGTACTGCGGGCTACTTCTGCTGGTTGCCAGCTGCCAGCAGTTTGGCAGTTCAATTCTCACCAGTTCGATCCTTCCAAGATTGGTAAAATGAGAACTCAGATTGTTGGGGGCAATATGCTGACTTGGTAAAACTGCTTAGAGAAGGCTGTAAAGCACTGTGAAGCGGTATATAAATCATAGCACAATGCCTGGTTGTTTGAAGGAGGAACTATCTTGCATTGTTTCTGTCCTGGTAAACTTAAGCTCTTGATTGAACAATGTGATTTAGGAAGGGGACTTAGAAAATTTGCTTCTGTCTTTTCCAGATTTCTATTATCTTTTATCTTTTATTTTTTATTGTTTTTAAAGTATAAGTCATCTACAGTTGTTTAAAGTTGAGCAGCCTCTAAATTATATAGATATGTATGTATATATCAATCTTGAATTTGTTTCAAAACATTTATTCTTCATTAAGTTCTGAGAATTTTTAATCTGACTTTAATCTGAAATATTTTAAAATATTTGCTTCTGTAATTAAATGTTCTGTGACAGAAATATTCTACTGCAAATTCCATAACATTTACAATTTTTGAAAACACCACAAAATGCAATTCTTTATAGAATTCATTTTGTATCCTATTGAAAATATATTGAACATTCTAACTGAATCTCAAATTAATGGAATTAATTACTTAGCAAATAGTTGTATTATACCCATACATTTTGGTTAAGAATATTATTACAAAAAACACATAATATCATCAGCATATATCTTCAACTTGCTTTTATGAAATCCTTGCTTGATCACAGAGCCTTCACATATCATTAATCCTTTCTAGAGACACCAGACTGGGCTGGCAACCTCATATTGATTCTTGGTCTACATAATGTTGGCTTTATCTTCTCCCAGGCCAAGTTTTCGCAGTCCACTGTTTGTGTAGCACAAAATACTAGACGAGCAGACTTATTTGAAGGGTGTGGTCAAAAAAGTCAAGAAGTTGGCCATTAATGGTGCAAGCCTTATAAAAAACAGAAGGGGCTTCAATCACATGACACCATCTTATTTTATTTTTTTTAACCATGGCCTTCAGACTCTTCAGTGAGGTAAAGTCTGAGCAGGGCAACCTGTTGTACTGCAGGTAACCCTAAGTTTGTTAAAATGGAAGGTCTGGCAACAGAATGTCACAAGATGTCCTGATGAAGATATTTTCCACCAGTAGCTTTCCTCTGTTTTCTCGCCCTTTCTTTCATCTTTAAAAGGTTGGTTGGCATTGCCTTCCTGGAGCAACTGGAAGCCCTCTAGAAGTTAGTAATCAGAGGAAGGGTCAATGGATTGACTTGACTGGTTTCCTGGCCCCAGTCAAGAGATGAGTCAAACCATGTTTGGTCACAAAACAGATCCATGTTAGATGGTAGTAAACAACAGGCTTGGGGCAACCTCCAGGCTGCCTGTGTTTGCAGGGACCATCTTGCAGATGGCCGACGGTACAGTCCTCCAGTAAGCCCCATACAATTCAGTAGGCCTACTCCGAAATAGGCTGCCCTCAGAGATTTGCTCGCGCGAGGAAAGCGTTCTTCTCAATCACTGCCGAGGTGAGCGGTTGATTTACTCTGGCCGGGTTGCCTCTGGGAGCCCTGGTGAATTCCGGCTTTAGCCGCCCGCTCCGAGGCAGAAGCGAGGCTGCTGCTGCTGCTGCTGCGGAGAAACCAGAGGGGCGTCGAGGAGAGAAAGAACTGAGGCTCGCCCGCTTCGGCCATTCAAGGGGCGCCTGCAAGGGGGATGCGAGCGCGTCCACGGCGGGCCCTCCAGTGGGCGGGTCTGGCCGGCCTCCAGCCGAGCGAGCCGGCAAGCCGTGAGAGGTATGTAGCCGCCGGAGCGAGCGCCACCTGGTCCCCCGCTGGCCGAGCTTCCCTACCCGCCGGGAGGAGCAGGCCTTGCTGGACGGGGCGGGCGGCGCTGCTCTTGCCCGGCGTGTAGCAGCGGTCGTCGGAAGAGGAGGAGGAGCAGCGGCCGGGCTTCGCTTGTTGCGGCTGCGGCTGCTTCTGAACGGCGCGAGCGAGAAGGTGGAGGGCGATGCTCCTGCGGCGGCGACGGGGCGGACGGCCAGCATGGAGCGATTGGCGGCAGCTCTGGGCCGCCTGGCGTGGAGCTCCGGCCCGCCGCTGCCGCTCGACCTTATCGTGGCCAAATGCCGCTTGCCCGCCCTCGTGCGCCCCGGCCCGGGTGGGTCTCTCGCTGGCTCGCTCGCTGCCCTTGCGGGGGTGCGGTGGGGAGGCGAAGGGGGCTGCCTGGTTTCTTTCGGTTGGGGATTGTTGCCGTGGCTGGAGAGAGATTTCCGTGTGTGTATGTGTGTGTGTGTGTGGGTTATTTATGTTGTCAGCAGGGCGGAGGGTGAGAGGCGCTGTCGGTAAAATCGGGAGGGAACCGGGGAAGCAAGTGGCCGAGCGAAACGGGTGGTGGTGGTGGAGGAGGAGGGACGTTCAACAAAAACTTTGCCGAGTTGCGTTAGATTCTTTATTCCCGGGAAGCTGATCTCTCAGAGGGCAGCGCGATCCCAAGGCAGATCCTCCGGCGCGAGCCTCATGGAAATGAAGGGACGGCTCTTGCACTGCTGCCGCGTGCGGTATTTCGACGGCGGGGCTGGTGCAGACGAACCGGCCCGCGGGCTTGCGGCGAATCTCCCCCGGCGTCCCGCTTCTTCTGTCTCGTTCAGGCATTGCGAGCGCAGTCCCGGTTCCTCCCTCCCGAAAGGGGAGTCCCGGGATTCCTGTCTGGGACTCCTGTTACCGATGAAGCGGGCTTTGCACGGACAATGTGGCGTGCCCATCTGGGGCGCGGGGGCGGCGCGGGGGGGGCAGAGGAAGCCTGGTACCAGGAAACCGCTGAGCGGTTAATTTACTTCTAACTGGAACTCTTGTTTGTTTTTTTTGTTTTAGCGGCCGGTTCTTCCCCCTCCCTTCCCGTAGGGGTTCATAGGTGATCTCTTGTACAGATGCAAAAATGCGCTGCAGGATCGGAGGGATGGTTTTAGGGCAGTTTTGCCCTCTCCCTTGCCCCACTTTTGTTCCCTCTGATTGCGAGGAAGGATTGCTTGCAGATCCCTGGGGAGGGAGAGAAGGGAGGGAGGGAGGGAGGGAAGGGTAGGGGGTGGCTGGCTGCCCGGCTTCGGGTTTTGTACAGCGTGAGAAGAATAGGGAGTTTGGGTATGAACGGTGTTTTGAATACTAATGAAGAGGGAAGCCTGCTTCCGTCCCCTCTTTCCCCCCCCCCATTTTTCTTGTGAATGGGCTACGTATACAATAGCCCCCTCCCCGCGTGACTCGGTTATCTGTATCAACCCATTTCAAACTCCTCAGTTGTATGAAAAGCCTAAGGAAGCGGCCCTGAGTTGTCAACCCTCTCTCCCCCCCCGCGCCGCCCCCCAATACCAAGAGGAAATGGAAAGCCGGCTGGTCTGTTCCTGGAGGGTTTGCTGTGGTTGCTCCGGGAATACAACCAAGTGCATTGGCTTAACCGCTGTAGCCACCAAACGTTTAGACTAGGATCAGGGGTAGGCAACCTTGGCTCTTTTACGACTCGTGGACTTCAACTCCCAGAATTCCTGAGCCAGCTTGGCTGGCTCAGGAATTCTGGGAGTTGAAGTCCACGAGTCGTAAAAGAGCCAAGGTTGCCTACCCCTGGACTAGGTGGACCCTTTACCTGATCCAGGAAAGCTCTTACATTTATGATGAGTGTGCAGTGGATTTATGGAACCTATTTAAGGAGATCAACTGAAGATCAATATACAGAACTTGATTAACTTTGATCTTGGTTAGGCTGCGTTTCCCCGTAGTTTGCTGTTTTGGTGTGCTGATTCCGAGTATTGTTCTAATCCAGACAGTGATCTAAATAACCACCTTGTAAGAACCCAGCAAAAAAGGTCCTTTGAGGAAGGCTGGAAAATGGTTTCTCTACTTTGAGATAGTTGTTCCACCTTAAAGTGTTTGATAAAGCAGGAGGAAATATGCAAACTCTGCGATTGGAGCACCCCACCAGAATAAGTTATTCAAAGGTGCTGTAGACTGCTTTTCCCATCTAGAGCAGTGGTTCTCAACCTGTGGGTCGGGACCCCATTTGGGGTCGATCGACCATTTCATGGGGGTCGCCAAGCAAGGCTGTCTGCCATTTTTTTTGTCCGCCATTTTTTTGTCCGCCATTTTTCCCCCTTTTCCAGCGGGTGCTTTACCTCCCTTGGGCTGGGCCAGCTGGTGGTCGGCCTGCTCCGTCTCTGCCACTTGCCAGCTACGCCTCGGCCGGCGCAGGGGGCGGAACCACGCATGTGCGGCGCTCCCGGGCAGGGAAAGTCCTCGACTTACGACTGGTTTAGTCCTCGACTTACGACCGGTTTAGTCCTCGACTTACGACCGGTTGGGGTCACGGCATTTAAAAGGTTGAGAACCACTGATCTAGAGGCTGGTTAACTCCATTAAAGGTAAAGATTTATCCAAGCCAGGGAGCTTCTCACATTCCCTGTAAGGACTTGATGCCTTGAGAATATATGAAAAAAGAATACCCAGTGCTGGTTTTTTTTTCTCATCACCAGGCAGAGTGATACTTCAGGTGACATGGCCAAACCTAGAGCTGGAGTATTTAGCCCCAGAGCAACGTTTTAGTGGGCCTCTTTCAAGTTAGATATACAAAGGTGATGGAGAAACAGCTCTGGGGAATAGTATGGTTAATTGACACCTGTTATTATCTTGCTGGTTTTTACTTCAATTTCCATCAACCCCAAATTGGCATGAGTAATGACAAGGATTCTCGGAAATATAATCCCAGAACGGCTTGAGGACACCAGGTTTCTTACTCCTGCTGTACTGTTTTAATATTTATTGTAGGGGAAAAAAAGGTGCTAGTTTATGGTGACAAAGCACGAGAAGGAATCTAGTATCACCTTTTCCAATTAACAATTTTTATTAGACATACATTTTGTAGGAGGATGTATGTTATTTCATCAGATGTGTAGAGTGGCTAGACTGATGTTGGATTTATATTGGGATGACAAGTGGGAAAGGGAGGGGAAGACAGGTTGATTATGTAATCTGATTATATATGAGATAGATTATAAGTATCTTTAAATCCTACATTAGTAAAGTCACTGTATGCAAGACAGAGTGGCTCTGGGGCTTTGGCCCCCCACATCCAGATTATATTTCATCTTTGACTCTGGATGGGGTGGCACTTCCCCAGACTGAGTTGGTGTGCAGCTGTGGCTGTGGAGGGGGAAGGCTTTGCACAGATTTGTCTAGTGTGCTAATTACACCCTTTCCGGAACCAGGAGGCCTTGCTCACAGTCACTCATGCCTTGGTCACTTCCCCTTTGGATTACAGCAATGCACTCTGTGTGCAGCTGCCCTCAAAGACTACCCAGAAACTTCAAGTGGTCCAGAACTCAGCAGGGCACACTGTGTTGCATGGCTCTAGGTTTACCCATGTAACACCTTTGTTGCATGAGCTGCACTGATTTCCAGTTTTTTTTCTTCAAAGTACAATTCAAGGTGCTGGTCATCACTTTTAAAGCCCTATGTGGCATAAGGCTGGGTTATCTGAGAGACAAACCCCCCCCCGTTTCCTAAGGACATTTACCTGCCCTAACAGGTTAGATAGCATGGACATGCTCCTTGTCCCTTTCTTTAAACATTGCAATTTTGGAAGCATGCCCTTTCTGTGGCAGCTACTGCCCTATGGAACACTCTTCCCCTTGAAGACTAGCAGCCTCCATGCTCCTACCCTCCTAGTAAAGTACTGAAGACCTGGCTTTCCCCCCAATTGCTGAGATAAGATGAGGTGACTGCATGTTGGAACCAGGGTTTTGTTTTCATGCATTTGGTTTAAATACTTTTAATATGGTTTTATGTTTTATTGTAATTTACAGTCAAGTTTATTAATAAGATGGGCATCTGTATAAATGTTTCAAACAAATAAGTAAAATCTGATGAAGTGAGGAGCAGCTTGTGAAAGCTTATTCCTCTTAATATAATTTGTTGGTTGGAAAAGGTTTGCAAGACTTCCTCTGGGGTTAACTTAGAATCTCAAGAATGATGTATTTGCTATATATTACCTCTTTTTCATTATATGCACTTTGGGGATGGAGGGGTAAGATAGATCAGCTCCAAGCTTGTTAGGGAAAACCTTTCAGTCTATTGGCCTCCCTTCCCTTGTCCAGCTGCCAGATCCTTGTGTGATTTGCATCTAAAGACTGGCTAAGGTGCCTTTTGTTTGAGAGCTTTGTCATTCCATTCCATCTCTCACCAGCCCCACCACCCGCCTATTGCTGGCTCTGAGCTCCAGCTTTGTTGAATGTGAAGAAAGAATTAGTGTAAATCTGTTGGGAGAAACTGGTGCCAGAATCCAAGTGGGCCAAGGAGGAAAGGAGATTGCAGAACAGGATCCTTTTTAAGTACCTGAAAAAAATAACCTAAATAAATGTCTAACACAGAAGCTTTTACTAGAATAACGAACAGTTCTTTATCTGCAGATATATATGGTTAGTTAACCAAATATATGACACAAATGTCATTCCCTCATCTTTTCCCCTTTTTAACCTATATAATGAGTGCAAAAGACCCCTTTCGATGCATTATGGTGTTTTTAAGTTTCTTAGTGACAAGAGACATAGAAAGAAAAGGAAAAGGAAAGTATGTGCTCCCTGTTACAAGGACTTTGGTATATACTGTTTAGGGATTATGGGAACTGAAATACAGCCCATGGAGATGGAGCAGTAGTATTTGAAAACAATAGATGAAAGCATAGAGTAGATAGGTAAGGTGGAGAGAGAGTTGTCCCATTAGGGACAGCAGGTATCATCCTTAGATGGGCAACATGTGATTATTTTGTGCACCTGATAAAGAAGGGCATTATATGCTATCATTTGTGCTCAATTTCTAAGGTGACACAAAACTCTCTTCTTTTCCCATGTTGTTTAACATCTATATGAAATTCCTGGTGAAGATATTGATCTGTTTATGGTAAGTTATCATGAATATGCTGTTGATATCCAGATAAATATATCTCTGCTTTGGATCAGGGAGGAGATATGAATTAGAAATGATTGGGATGACTCAGGTTGAAACTCAATTCCTGATAGGTGGAGTTCTGTTCATCCAGAAACCACCACTTTGTGGCTGGCCACTACACTGTCTGTGGATGGGGTTGTGCTCCCTCTAATGGAGCAGGTCTATGACTTG